GTTTTCTCTCTCTCTCTCTCGCTCTCTCTCGCTCTCTCTCTCTCAAATAGTTAAGAAGGCCAAGGGTGGAAAGCTTCAGAGGTTCCTTGGTGCATGGAAGATGCAGGCTTCGACTAAATTCCTCTCTGCCATCCTTAACATGGGCCTTTGTCTTCTTTCTACCACTTTTCTCATCTGCAAAGTGGGAATAATAGTACCTTCCTCATAGGACTGTTGTAAATATCAAAAGGGATGATATTTGTGAAGGGCTTAGAGCTGCATCTGGCACAAAGTAAGTGATCTATAACCCATTATGTTATTATTATCGCCACTGCTATTAGTGGTCGTGGTATTCAGTCCCCATGCTTAAAATATGGCTGCCACTCCTCTAGGCATCACATCCTCATATCTGGCAGGAAAAGGGGAAAAACAAAACATAAAGAAAGAGTAAATGCTGGTTGGTGCAGTGGCTCAAGTGGTAGAATGCGTGCCTAGCAAGTACTGCCAAAAAAAAAAAAAAAGTAAATGTTGGCCGAATCCATCTTTCTTTTTTCAGTTGAAATTTATGTAACATTACACTTAACTATTTTAAAGTGAATGATTCAATGGCATTTAATACATTTACTGTGTTGTTCAACCACCAACTCCATCTAGTGCCAAAACACTTTTTATCACCTCAGAAAGAAACCTTGTACCCACTAATCAGTTGTTTCCCTTTCCCCACCCCACAACCCGCACCTACAACCCCTGGCAGCCATCAATGTGTTTTCTCCCTCTGTGGATTTACCTGTTCTGTATAATTTCATCTATTGTTTGTTTTTTTTGGGGGGGGGGTGTGGTACTGGGGTTTGAACTCAGGGCCTCATGTTTGCTGGGCAGGTGCTCTACCACTTGAGTCACTCCACCAGCCCCCTTTTTTTTGTGATGGGTTTTTTCGAGATAGGGTCTGGCTTCAAACCTCATTCCTCCTGATCTCTGCCTCCTGAGTAGCGAGGATTACAGGCGTGAGCCATCACCCCCAGCTATTCCATTTGTTTATAAAGTCACTTCTGCTCACATCTCATTGCCCAGGAATGTTTTTGGTGTTTGACTGGACACACCGCTGCCCTAAACAAGACGAACATCTGTCATTCTATGTTTTATTACTTAGAGCATCTACAACCATATTTTATTGATTGGAAGCCACACAAATTCCTTCCCGCATGTTAACTTTTTCAGAATACAAATCTTAAATCAATAACATCTCTTATTTAATGAAAAACAGTAGGTGTAGACTCTGCTCTAGGTGCCTAAATAAAAAAGCAAAATCCTCTGCCCTTATGGAGCATTCCAATGACGGGAAGATGAGCAATTAAATGCAGTAAGTGAGTGGACAGGTGTGGGGCACACACCTGTAATACCAGCACTCAGAAGGAAGAAACTGGTTGATCAAGAATTCGAGGCTAAGGGCTAGGAGCATGACTTAAGTGATAGCATTAATTAATTAATTAATTAGTTAATTAATTCAAGGACAGCCTGGGCTTACATGGTGAGATCCTATTTCATAAAATCAAAAGAATAAAAAATAAAAATAAATAAGTGGTTTGCTTAATGTGTTAGGAGATGATATTTCAGTAAAAATAAAGAGTACAATAAGGTAAGTCATATTCCAGGGATGGAATAGGGACAGCGTCTGTAGTAATATATTACTTATCTATTGGGTAACAAATGACCCCAACATTTCATAGCTTCAGACACACACATTTATGATATCAGTTTCTGAGGGCCAGAGGAATCCAGGAGTCACTTAGCTAGGCCATTCTGGCTCAGGGTCTTTCAGAAGGCTGCAGACAAGAGGTGGACTGGGGCTGTAGCCGACTGAAAACTTGACTGGGACTGGAGGATTCATTTCCAAGATGACTCACAAATATAGTTGTTGGCTGTAGTGTCTCACTGGCTATTGGCAAGAAACCTAGATCTCTTGCCACATAAGTGTACATGGCCACTTGAGTGTCCTTACAAAGTGTCAGCTTGTTTTCCCCAGGGCAAGTGATTCAAGAGAGAGCAAGGAAGAAGCCATACTCCCTCTGCTGTATTCCATTTGTTAGTAGTGAGTCATGATGTCCAGCCCACATTCAGGGAGAGGGGAATTCAAAGGAGGATGACCAAAGAACTCATGAACACATTTGAAAACTACTACAATTAAATAGGGTGGTCAGGATAACAGAAAGGTAATATTTGGATGCACAGCTAAAGGAGGTGAGGGCATTGGCCACACAGACCTGGGCAAGGGGGAGGGCATTCCTGCAAAGGAAGCAGCTGGAGTTGTGGACCAGAAACTTACCCTCATGCTGCTAACAAAGAGAAGGAGACTGGCCCCTTGGAGGCAGCTAGTGGCTGCCACACTCCCTCTTCCATCAAGAGCTGTGCGACCTGAGGCAGCCACTTCCCTTTCTGAGCCTCAGGTCCTCCTCTGAGAATGACAGCACAGCATGAGTATCCCTTATCTAAAATGCTTGGGACCGGAAGCTTCCAACTTTGAAGGATTTTAGATTTGGGGATATGTGCATAGACTTTACTGGTTTACTTTCTTTAATTCAAAATCAGACATCTGACATGCTCTAAAACCCAAAACTCTTTTTGGGGGGTTAGAGAAGACAGGGTCTCATCATGTAGTCCAGGCTGACCTAGAACTCAAAATCCTCCTGCCTCAGACTCCTGAGCGCTGGGATTATAAGCAAGTGCCACAAGCCCAGCTTCTGAAACTTGTTGAGTGTCCTGTCAGTCATGGTTGACAGGTCCTGCCCCAGACACCACAAAGCTAACACCCTCTCTTCTTTCAGTCTCTGCTCAGACCTTACAATGTCAGTAAGGCTTCCCTGGCCACTCTGTGCCTCTCCCTACCACACCCCATTCTCCTCCCTATTTCATTTTTCCTTTATTGTAGCTATCACTTTCTAACATGTGGACCATTTTCTGTTTAGTTTGTTGTTTACTATATGCCCCAAGTACCTAACGAAAGCTCTTAACCCCAGACTCTATGACCCACCCCAACCCCTGCATTGGTTAAACCTCTGAACACATGTACAATAGTTTGTGGCCAGGGTATCTGTAGCTTTCATTAGATTCTTAAAAAATTACCACGTGATCTCGAAAGCTTAAAAATCCTAAGTAGATCAACGCCTGGCATAGAGTAGGTGCTCAATAAATATTTGTTGACCAATCAAAGAGCATTTCAAACATGATTTGCACACACTTTTTAAGAGGAAAACTGTCTTATGTAGCAACAACTCCCAAATGTTGATATCCTTAGATCAATTAGCAGAATAATTTTAAAACAGACTCTCAGGATTCAAAAAAATACCTTCCAATAGTCAGGGAATCTAGTCAAGAGGTTAGGGTGCGTCTGGAGATTTATTTGCAAATTCCCCTCCTCATGAATCTCCCCATGAATTCCTAAACAGCCAGGTTTAGGAATTTCTGGGTGAAACCTTAATTAGAGAGACAAAGAAGAACCCATTCTTATGTGTAGCGTTTACACTTTCCAAAAATGTGATCACAGCTGTGATCATCTGTTGCCCTCCCACTGTTCTCAGAGGTGCCCAGTCACCCCTCTCACTGAGCAGAAAACTGAGGCCTTGGGGAATCAAGAGAACCTCCCCCAGCTCCCAACCCCAGCCAACAGCCAAGAGTCACATGCCTGCCTGTAGATGGCATAACTATGATTAGAACTTGGGTCTCAGAACTCCCTCTCTAGGCTTCTCTCCTCTACACCAACTAGATAAACTCATGTTCCAGGAAGTCCCAAGGCTGCTGCTGGGGGAGGGGAAGCCAGAGGAGAGAAGGACAGAGTGATAAACACATGGAGGTCAAGGTTCAGGGAAGCTGTCTACTGGCTGCAGGAAAGTCTCTATCTGCTTGGAGAGCACAGGGCATTGGCATGACAGCTACTTTCTCTTTGTGTGCCTTAGTTTCCTTCTCTGCAAAATGGGGTTGGTAATGCATGGCCTACCCTCCAAAAGATGCTTGCAGTCTAGAAATCCAAGTTATTGTTATCCAGGAAAGGTGTGAAATCCCATACTGGAAGGTCCTTAGCGTCAGAACAAGATCCAGCCTTTCATTCATTCAAGGAACACTATTGAACATCTCTGTGCCTGCCACTGTGGTGGGCACTGTACACACACATCGTTTCTTTTAACCTTCACCATAACCTAGTGCGACCCGTGGTACTATCGTCAGTGTCTTACAGATGAGAAGCTGGAGCTGAGTTGCAATCCAGTGCATCGTTTGCTCATTCACTCGACTTTTACCAAATGCCAGCTCTGGTGCTAGGCAATGGGCCAAGTGCTGAGGATAGGAAGATGAACAAGTCCTTCAGGAGACATGCCCATAAATTACTTTAATAACAACTCAGTACATGCTTCAACAGACAGTCAGTGGGAGCCAGAGGAGCAACAGGCTCCCTGGGGGTTTTGGGGACAGAGAGCTGACTTCCCACGGAGAGCCTGCACTGCTAAGGTTTCTGTGACCTGTGTAAATGTGGCAATGACAAGACCTGGATTTGAGTTTCACTTCGATCAAGGCTTTACTGTGTATTTCCAGGAACTCTCTTCTGCCCCTGCCCCTCCGTCTCCACTGGGAAAATGAAGAGGTTATTTGGACTTAGGATCGGACAGCTCCAGAGGACTTAAACCTCTGGCCCTCTCACCTCACCTTCTGGTAAATTCAAGCTTGACCCTAGCCTTGAGCCCCTGAAGGCCACACCGAGCCCCTGTGAAAGTGACAAACACTACAGCCCCAAGGCAGCGCTCAAAGCCTGGGACAGGGTCTGGAATCCAAAGGGCGGGGCTCTGGCAGGGGGCGTGGCTGAGGCCTAGATGGAGGCTCGAGTTCTGCCCAGAAGCGTTTCACCGGGCCAATGAGTGCCCGGGGGCGGGGCGTCCCGCCCCCTGATATGAGAATGCCGCCAGGCCCCACCGCTCCCGGGCGCTGCTCGCCGCTCTTGGATCCTCCATCCGGTAGGTGTTTGGTTCGCTGGGGTTCGGAGCTGACACCGCAGGGTGCGCTGGAAAGCGGAGCTCGGCGCGCCTGGACTGGACAGGGGAACAAGTCGGGTTCAGTTTTCCCGGCTCAGTTGCAGGGACGCACTGTGTCCGGGCCCCCTGCCTCAAAGGAGCATCTGGCTCGGGCCCGGGGGTCGCCCGCGCTGACCATCCGCCTGTCGTCTCTATCGGGAGCCAGCCTGCTGCCATGGCTGAACACCTGATGCTCGCCGAAGGCTACCGCCTGGTACAGATGCCACCGCCAGCCGCTCCCGCACACAACCCTCACGTGCTCCGGACTCTACAGCCTTACACGGGCCCGGGCCTGGACAGCGGGCTGCGGCCGCGGGGGGCTCCGTTGGGACCTCCGCAGCCCCCACCCGGGACCCTGGCGTACGGGGCCTTCGGGCCACCATCCCCCTTCCAGCCCTTTTCGGCGGTGCAGCCACCGGCCGCCGGCAGCGCGCACCTGCAGCCTTTGGCGACGCTGTACCCGGGCCGCGCAACCGCGGTCCCTGGAGTCCCCGGAGGTCCGGCAGGCTTGCAGCCGCCACCCGCAGCCGTCGCCCCGCCGCCGCCCGCGCACGCCCTGGGCAGCATGGATGCCGAACTCATAGACGAGGAGGCGCTGACGTCGCTGGAGTTCGAGCTCGGGCTGCACCGCGTGCGCGAGCTGCCCGAGCTCTTCCTCGGCCAGAGCGAGTTCGATTGCTTCTCGGACTTGGGATCGGTGCCACCCGCCGGCTCGGTGAGCTGCTGAGCGCATCTGCGTGCAGAAGCCGGGCTGGCTGCTCGCGGGACTCTGCTCCCAGACACCGGGCCCGCACGCGCCCTCCGTGAGGGTGGAGGCAGCGGGTTTGCGCGCGGAGCCAGGCACCCGGCGGGGACGCCTGGCGTGCGTCCAGGCCCTGCCTCTGCCTCTTGACATTTGGCATCACTTCTCCCACCAGCGCCTCAGCGGCAAAGTGAAGGAGACCCGACCAGTTTTTGGACTCCGCGCATTCTGTGTCCTGTCTCTTTCCTCGCCTCTCCCCGTCCCCTAATCTGAGCCATTGCAGACCTCTGCTTGATTTCCCCTCTCCTCGTGCAGCCCACTACCGGGACTGGGTCCTTGGAGCCACCATCCTCTGAGCCCCTACCTTCGCTGGGCCTCTCACCTGGAGGGACATTGTACAGTCCCAACCCCTGCCAAGTGAAGCAGCGCCTCATCTGGCCACCAAAACAACAATAAACTTGGGTAACTTTACAGTCTTGAGTTTTCATTTCTTTAGCATCTCAACTATATTTACCTTGCAAAGTCCTGAGGCTGTTGAAGATCCTGGGTGGGATGGTGGCCAGGCTCCCAGCAGTGCTCAGGACAGGAATTCGACGGTTTCTTTGGAAAATATCTTGTGAGTTGTGCAATTGTGATGTTATAGCCTGGAAGTCTGAGGCTACCACCGGGTGGCAGCATAACCCAATGGACTTCCCACCTCCGGGGGTGGGGTGGGGATCCTGGGAGGTATTTAAGGATTCTGATAGCTTTGGACGATAAGTCTCCCTTATCCAAGACACCATCCTTTCAGGCTTTGAGGCTATTTCTTCATCGGTAGATGGTAGCAGTCTCCTCCAGTGTTTGTGATGTCTTTAACACTGTGTCAGACTCCTAAGCCATCCTCAATAAATGATAACAGATGATTATTCTACAAACTGGTGCTAGCTTTATTCCAGGCCCTGGGCCAACCTGGCATGTGCTCTCATGGAATCAGGGCAGATTGGAGAAGGTGAATGACAGACCTGGAAATACTCTTGGTACAAACAGAAAAGTGAGAAGGTCCAGAAAACAGGTTGAATAGCCCAGCCAGCAAGCCCAAAGGAGAGAGAAGTTTCAGCTGATTGGGGTAGGGGGTCAGTTCAGGCTTCAGAGAGGTGTTGACATTTGAAGTGATGAACAGTGTGGAATGATGAATATGTTTTAGGAGTTGGAGAAGGGCTTATTTAAAGTCAGGGAAGTATACCTTACAGAAAGTCTATGGGGTGTCTAGAAGAGACAGAAAAGTTCTGAGGGCTTTAGGACAACTTTGTGAGGCTAGCACAGTCTTCATTCCATAGGTGAGGGACATGGAGCTGGCCCAGGCCTGTCGGGATTTGGGCTCAAAGTCCTGATCACCATTGTGAGTACCTGGCCACTTTCTGCTGTTGACTATGGAAAGACCCTCAGGGGTGTGGGAAAAAAAAGGCTGGAAGAGAGGCTGAAGGTCAGGAGGAGGCTGGGTCAGATACTGCTGGCACTACTAGGACCAGGCAATGTGGCATTCTTAGGAGACAATGGATTTCAGAGCCTGAGGCTGACACCTACCCTGGGTGTTGGGCTCTGCTCTAGTGCCAAGTTGTTCATTGACATGACTCCCTAGCAGCCTTTGAGTTTTCCCAGGGCACACTGTATGAGCACCAGCTCTGAAGCTACCAGGATGGGCAAGGAGAGAGTGATAAGAAGTATTGGGCAAGTGAATAAGACTCCCCTAAGCCAGGCTCTGGTGGCTCACACCTGTATTCCTAGCTACACAGGAGGCAGAGATTATGGTTCAAAGCCAGGCTGGGCAAATAGTCCACAAGATCCTATGTCAAAAAAACTCATTACAAAATAGAGCTGGTGAAGTGGCTCAAGGTGTAGGCCCTGAGTTCAAACACCAGTACCACAAAGCCAAAAAAAGAAAAGAAAAAGACTCCCTTAGGATTGGAGAGCAAGGAAGAGATAATTCTGGGAAGGACAGGCCTGATCGCTGGGCTCAGAGAAGCCAGTGTTTGCTCTAGCTTTGCCCAGGTCCCCAGGCCACAGACAGAAACCAAGGGCTGAATGGGGACAAGAAGGCTTGGCCCTGAGCTGTACATCATTTTGATTCCCATCTCTCTTGGCCTCAGTTTCCCCACCAGTAAAGTGAGGCTAATATCCCTGCCCTGCTATTTTACAAGGTAATATGCCTCATCATGAGTGAGAAACAGGCTCAGGGGTGGCTTGAGAAGCAGCTGATAAACTCAAATGCTCCCCGCATGGAAGGGATTGCAATAAAACCCAACAACTGCCATTGCCAGAGTTAAAGTGGGGGTGAAGGAGAGAGTCAGATGCTGAGCTATTCTGCTTACTATTCTTCCAAGAGGGACTGCTGACAAGTTGGTCAGTAGACAGATGGACCAAGAACCTAAGGCTGGGACAGCCCACCACCTGGGGAAGCTGACCACCTGGATCCCCAAATTCCTGACACTGGAGGATTCTGACCCTACTAGCTGCAGGGGATGAGAGGGAACAAGGGAAAGAGCAATGGGCTTATAGCCTCATGGTCTCAGGGTCCAGTTCCAGAAGTGACCTTACGAGCTGACTGACCTCAACCAATCCCTGTCACTCGTTGAGTCTTGGTTCTTCGGTAAGCACACCAGTTTCTGGGTTCCAGCAAGTGCTTCTTACCTCTTCCCATGCTTACCCTCCTAAAGCAACCTTTGTCCTATGGATCTCATGCTTCTGCCTGGGTCTTTGGAGTCAGGAGTTGAGCTCTCAAAATGCCAGAAACTAAGTCATAGACAAGACATGTTTCATCTTTTTTTTATTCCCATTCATGAGAGTGCCCCAGGCTGATATCATTTTGAATTATCTTTTGGTCGACTGTTTGGTTCGTTCCTTTGGAACTTATCTGTAAAATAGGGGTGCTAATAGTACCACCACTATAATGCTGCTGTGGAGAGTAAATAAATTAATGCAGGTAAGGTGTGTAGAGTAATGGGGTTTATAGCTAGTGCTATTATCTCTGAGCCCTGGCTTTTGGGGAACATCTTGTCTTAGAGTCTTTAGGAAGGCTGTTTTAACAAGCTAGTAAGGGAGAACCCCAGCAATGACACTCTTTCATGTTGGGTTCCCCAGGATGCAAACTCTTGAGATTGGGTTCAGCTTGCAGAGGTTTATTCGGGAGTGCCAGCAGGATTGTACTACTGAGGGAGGGGAAGAAGCTGAAGGAAGCCAGAGAAGTCACAAAGTAGACCCAACAAGAGCCCCTGCCAGCCCCATGGGGATCTCAGGAGCTAGAAGGGCCTTTCAGAGTCATCATGAGCTAGGTCATCATGCTCCTTTATGCTCCTGTCCCCATCAATCATCAGATACTGGCTGCCCAGAGAACTGGCATGAGGAAGGGCCACCTTCCCAGCTGAGCCCTGTCCCAGGAGTCACTGCCAAGGGAAGGCTGTCTGCCAATAGCACTTCCAGCAGCAGCTAGGGAAATGAGTCCATCAAGGGGGGCTCTGGGTGGCACATCACAGTGCCTCTACATAAGCACTAGGGTGGCAAACAATGTCATCAGAGTTATAACAAGTGTCTGCTCAAATTTACACTCAAATTTCTAACTTGCCTCACCTTAGTCCCAAACTGCCACCTTCCCTGTTACAGAGAAAAAAAAAATTAAGTACTTCAACATTGTAGGGCTGGTGGGTACTTGGTAGAGATTCTTGATAACTGAGCGCTGCCATCATAGTTGTCATCCTTCCAGCTCACCAAAGTGTGCACCACCATTTGTTGAATAAATTAATGAGCATTCTATTCTGATGGTAGTCTTTTCCCAGGCAGCTTACGTGGTTAGCTGATTACTGAGTAATCCTCTTGAACTCCTTCATCCATCCTTGCCTAACTCTTTACGCCACTCTGATGTTAGAAGTGCTGGGTCAGGCTTAGTGCTGATTGCAAGGCCAAGTTGGCACTTGTTGAGTGCCTACTGTGTGCAAGCACGATGAGAACTGATAGGGAGGGCCCAGTCAGGGTGCTCCTTGTCTTCCAGCCTTTCCTTCAACCACCATGTATCCTATAAATAGCACTGCTAGGTAGATTGTCCCCATTCCAGAGGTCAGGAAACTGGGGCACAGACAGTGAATTGTTCCAACACACATCCTATCTATCCAGATTCTTTCCCCTCCCCAGGCTGAGTCTGGCTAAGGACCTGAGTCTGAGCAGAACAAGAGCAGAGTCCCAGTCCTGGTCTACTGCTTTGTGGATGTAAGAGGTAGAGGAAGTCACTGAGCCTTCTGAGGTCTCGGTTTCAGTTTCTTTTTCCAGTCACTGGGGAAAATAATCTCAACATGTGTGTGTGAGGATTCCAGTGAGATTGCGTTCTCAGAACACATTGCAAATAGTTCAGTGCCGCCTGGTCAGGTTGGGTTTGGGGATCAGAAGCCACAGCCTCCAGCCTGCATCTGGTCTGGGGAAGAGAGGTCTGCATATACTTTGGGACTGGAGGACTGGCCAGCCTGGAGCATCAACAGAGTCACAAGTCGAGAGCTCCCAGCAGGCACTGCTGAGCAGCTCAGGGTATGGCAGGTTGAAAATTCATGGTAACTGAAGGATGAGGTGGGGTCGGTCTGGGGATGTCATGAAAGTGAGGGAATGAGGCCAAGGCCCAAAGTTTGCCCTGACAGATGGAAGAAATAAAGGAGCTATCCTGAGTCCAATGGAGACACCACAGGCTTCTTATGAGGATGAACTAAGGGAAGTTAAGTGCCTGTCGCCAGGACCACAGGGATGAGGAAGAGGGAGCCTCATCCCAGCCAGGCTCTAGCACCTGCCACCCTCAACTCCAGCCACCAGGCTCCTGACACACCAGGCACCTTGTGCCTCCTGGCCTCTGCACCTAGGCCTAAAATACCCTCATGAGGGCCCTTTCCACCCAAGAAAGATCCGTTTCATGTCAGAGTTGTCAATGGGTCTTTTCCCACCAACCAGAAAGTTCTGGGGACAGAACTTGCTTGACTCATCTTCATCTCCTCCTCACCCCAAGTGTGATTCAGAGTGGCCATTAAGAAGTGCTGGAGTG